AGTTGGTTCAGTCTTGAGTCAACTCAGTATGTTCTGTTTTTTCCTGCAGGGTTACTCTGGCAGTCACTGGCATTAGTCTGCTTCTAGTTCTGACTACTTTGGTGGGCTTATTACCAAACAGAGAGTAAGTTTCCTCCAATTCTCATCACAGTTCGAGCATCCATGTAAAGTTAGGTCCCTATAACAAGGGTAGATAGTGTGTGTAACCACATGTAGCTCAGCCAGTCTGGGGTTTTTCTTTCTGTGGGATTGTTCTGCTCTCAAATGAAAATGAAGTGGTTGACTTTGAAGTGTGCATCCTAAAGAGATGGGAGTAATTGTTTTGGCATTATGGTGCATGTCTTCAGGTTAAAGTTTTTCCTGAGCGAGAAGGTTCATCTGATGTGTTACCGCATCTGTGTTAGAGCTCTCACAGCAATCATCACCTATCATAACAGGTACGATATTTTTCCTCAGACACTTTAATTAATTGAATACATTCTAATTATCAGAACAGAATTGACCTGTGTATGGTGTATAGTTGCCTCCTTTTGGACTGAATATTTGTTAGCCTGTCTGTAAGTTCTACATGTGTCTTAAACAAACTTGTCTAATTTCAGAGAGAACAAACCTAAGAATGGCGGTATCTGTGTGGCCAATCACACAACACCCATTGATGTCATCATCTTGGCCAATGATGGCTGCTACTCTATGGTAGAAAAGTTTGTGTGCCTCCATATGCGTTTCTCTGTATGAATGATAATGATAGTTTTAGGGTTTAGAGTATTAGGGTTAAGTAGAGATGATTTTTGAGTTGAACTTGAGTTGAACTTGTCTCTCAGGTTGGCCAGGTGCATGGAGGGTTGATGGGAATGATCCAGCGAGCCATGGTCAGATCCTCTCCTCACATCTGGTTTGAAAGATCAGAAGTCAAAGACAGACACCTAGTGGCCAAGAGGTAACATTGCATCTTTTCAGTGTTAGCACTGCCCTTCACTTCTGTTACATCATGGTCAGCACTGCTATGTGCAACCCATTATCAGATAGTATGCTCAGCTTAGTGTGTTTTCAATTATAATACACATTTGGCACACAATTCATTAAAATATAAGATATAATAGTCTTGCACACATTTTTTTTCCATCATGGGCAAAGGCCTTCTAACAAATAATACACTAGTATGTCAATGGCAGTATTTTTAGTACATTTTATTGAAAAGATACTGCAATGGTAGTGTTGGCTCACTGAACATCCTATGTTGTGTGCGCATCTAAACACAGGATCCAGAAATCCATTTCAACAGTTTATTTCAGTCGGTGGATGTGAATGTGAATAATTTTTTCTATACAAAAGAATATCACAGAAATTTTACAAATCTGAATAATTACAAACAAAACTACTAACAAGAAATAAATCAGATAGTTTAACTTATTTAATGCTTCCATAATCTGACCCTATTTTCTCTGTTTTCTTCTTAACATAGAAACCTTTCTAAAAAAATAGCATCATAAACACAAATTGTTAAAACAGTTATGTAACACATTAATCACATTTTAAAAGGTGAAAAAGACTATCTTAAACTCACAGCAGGTTCTCTTTGTTCTTCTTGGTATGGTTGGAGGAAAATCAGATCTGAAGGTGGAGCTATATAATCTTGGGGGAGTAATTTAGAGAACATTTATCAAAACTCTTTTTATACTATGCATTTTTGTATCCTTGCTCTAAAACCCTCAATACTTTCTCACTTTATGATGCATCAGTATGTAGGCATGGCTGCTATAAAACAAAAGGACCTGACGGTGAGCATACTCACATTGCACACTGGCATTGACCTTGGCAGCCTTGCATAAAAGACATTTAAGAAAGCAGTATATACACCACATTTCATATAATTTATAAGCACCTTAGTGAACTTGATATAGATCACAGAGTATGCATATGTAATGATTTGGCTGTTGCCATAGTAGCAGCAGTTTGAATTGGGTCTGAACATCATTGGGCTTAAACTGTGGAAGTGAAGCTAATGGCAATATTTTGCTCACTCATTTCAGGCTTGGCGATCACGTTGCTGACAAAACCAAACAGCCCATCCTGATCTTCCCTGAGGGTGTGTATGAGGACATAACTCTTTCAAACACACATGTAGAGCCCATAACGTGTGTTGATAAGAGATTCACACTGTGTCTTCTACAGGTACTTGCATCAACAACACATCAGTGATGATGTTCAAAAAGGGCAGCTTTGAAATTGGCTGCACCGTCTATCCGGTTGCCATTAAGGTAAGAAGTACTATTTTTCCTCCTTTCTGTTCATTTCGCTCTTTGCTTTGCTTGATATGACCTCAAAGTTTTCCTTGCTACTGTCACCAAGTGCTACAGCTTGCTCATGGTGGCAACTGTTGGGTCTCTGTAAATTATTTCAAAAAGGAGTACGGTCTAGTTTGGTTCTATTTGAAAAATGTTCTGGGATAACTTCTGTTATGACCTCTGCTATATCAATAAAATTGAATTTAATTGAAAATTTCCATCTCACAGTATGATCCTCGGTTTGGGGATGCTTTCTGGAACAGCAGTAAGTTTGGCATGGTGAATTATCTGCTGAGGATGATGAGCAGCTGGGCCATTGTCTGCAGCGTTTGGTACCTGCCACCTATGAACAGAGAGGTGAAACTCTTTGTCACAACCTAACAAAGAAATATTTGGTGTGTTACCAAAATCAGCGATGGAACATCCAGGTCATCTTTTGCTTCTTCTATCCACTGGAATACTTCTACCACTTTTTCTTAGCCTGTTTTTTTATTGTTCTTGTGTAGGAAGGGGAGGATGCGGTGCAGTTTGCCAACAGAGTGAAAGCAGCAATAGCTGCACAAGGAGGATTAGTGGATCTTATTTGGTGAGTCATTAGCCAGGTTTCCATCCAAATGTAGCGCAAATCTTATTGACAGCAAATCTACAAAAGAAATACAAATTTATGTGCGTTTACATCCACTACTGTTAAGCAAAATATTAGGAGTTGGTTCATGGAGATAAGCAGTATGTGGCACTAATTCTCCAGTCAGGTGGGCACAACAAGATGATGTAACTACAAAGAATCCAAGTAGCTAAGTAGCATTTTTCTTTGATGCGCAACCCTTTCTACCTCAGCCAAGCAATATATGTTATGTAGATTTTTCCCACTTTTTGAATAAACTGAATAAATTAGATGTGCATACAATCTCTTGGTGGTCATGGCAAACATCAGTAAGGTTGTATGTGTTAATGGTTGTTAAAGGTTGCCAATGGCATAAAAAAAAAAACCAATGGCTTTTAGCTTTGACAAACTGCAGTGTGCAGGAGATCATTTCCCTCTTGATTCTGTGTGTGATACTTTTCTCCTTTCTTACCTGTGTCCTCTCAGGGACGGAGGGCTGAAACGGGCAAAAGTGAAAGATGCTTTTAAAGAAGAGCAGCAGAAACTTTACAGTAAAGTTCTTGTAGGTGAGCAGGACCAGGGTGACCAAAGTGACAACAAACTTGTAGAAGATGAAAATCCGAAGGAGGATAAAAGCCATCAAGATTCAACAGAAGTACAATGAGGACACAGTGAATGTATGACGTTTTAAGACTCTTGCATCTTACATAATGCTGAATGTGTATTATCAGAAGTAGGATTTTATATTAATTATTACTGTTGTTTTACCTCTCAGAATGAAAGAAAATGTTTATTTATTTATTAGTGTAAAAATCTATATTTATTTACAGTATTTGTATGATGTGAAATTATAGTACAGAAGGTACAAATGCAAATGGATCGGTTTGTCTTTTTCAACCATTTGTTTATAGACCAAAGTCCTAATGTGACCTTAATTTTTTTGCCTCCTTTTTTTATTACCATGTGAGCTTGATGTATGTCACATTAAAGCAGTCTCTTCTAAAAACTGTTTTCTTTCTTTAAAGACATCCAAAACTAAATTATCTGCACAGCCATTAAGAGACTATTTTAAGTGTCTAGTACTACAGCGTTTGACATCAGAGCCAGACAGACACTTTGGCAGTGCCAACACTTGTGCGTCACAGTGCTAATTGGCTCAAGGCTCTATATGTGTCTCCATCTTTAATCTTTGCTCCAGGTAGAAGAGAAAGTGAGATCAAACATTTTCAGGCTTGGCGCACAATGTAAGCCGTCATAATGTAGGTTTGGCAGGTTGGAAAGTCTTTGAAGGATTTGAGATTTAGAGTGTTGCTGCTGGAGGAACATAAGTTGTGTTCATATAATTCCCTTTCTTAAACAGCAGGAGTCAGTGTGAACCACCCTGTATGTGAGCACGTTTTACTCAGCTATAAACATACAAATCAATATACAGACTGATTTAGACAGCTGTATAAAACACATACCTTTTCCATCGCCACCTAATCCCACTTCATGGGAACGGAGGGTTTATCCCAGTTTATACTGAGGAGAATGCAGGGAATCAACTCTGGAAAGGTTGCCAGTACATGAATGAGCTAAAACACATTGAATGTATTTCAGAGCATTCAATCCACCTGATCTACAGTGGCACTGCAGCCTGATTAAGATTCAACTGGAGCTACACCTGAAACTGAATCCAACCATATGAACTCCGCTGTCACCAGCCTGTCAGGTATCCTGTTATAGGTACCAGACCTAGATCAGAAAGATAGGTAACATAGATGGGACTCTGTGACTATAAGTTATTACTGAAAATATGCACTATATTTGTTTCTTTAATGAAAAGACAAAACCAACCAAGGAACTGCAATGATTAAAAACTGTCAACCTAAGTAAGTACCCAAATCAATCAGCCAGTCAGTCTTGTCATTTAATGCAGCTGATGTGATGCTGATGCACTCTGGCAGGTGTCAACAGGGATCAGGTGTGGCCTATTGGTTCCAGTAAGTGATTGTGGTGGTGTGAATGGGCTTGACAAGCAGCGTGTCAGGTTTGTTAGAGAAGTCATGTAATCTGTGGGAGTGTCTTGTCTTAACCAAGGCCCCCTGTCGGTGTAACCGCGCCCAATCAGCTGTTTCCTCAAGTTCAACCAAGCTCACGGGAAAACTTTTCCTCTCTCCTGTCCACTATCACGCTGAACACCCAGCAGACACGGCCGCGTTTGAGTGTGTTTTTGGATTTAATTTTTATTGCGCGCAGTTAATCCGGCAACAAGTGGTGTCAGCATGTCCCTGGCGGATCAGCAGTGGTGTCCCACAAGCGTCCAGGTAACGGTGCTCCAAGCCAGAGGCCTCAGGATTAAGGGGAAAAGCGGCACTAACGATGCGTACGCGGTCATGCAAGTGGGCAAGGAGAAGTATCAGACCTCGGTGGTGGAGAAGAGCGTGGCACCGGTGTGGAAGGAGGAGGCCGCTTTCGACCTGCCGCCGCTGTTGCAACAGGGCAGCGGGGGAGGAGGAGGAGGAGGAGGAGGAGGAAGAGGTACGGAGCGATCCACCCTGCACGTCCAGGTTTTGCACCGGGCCCTGGTGGGTCCAGACAAACTGCTGGGACAGGCTGTCATCAACCTCCTGCAGCTCAGTGAGGACAAAAGCCGCAACAAGACCGAGTAAGTGCGCACAGCAGGGAGTCAATGTTTGATTAAAGAAAAGGCTGATGACCCCATGGTTGCATGGAGAGAGATGGGCTGCAACTCACCATAATTTACATTAGCCATAATCTGTACTTTATTTTCTCGATTAATCGAATAATTGTGCGATGAATAAGTTGTCAAACTCCCCACCACAAGTTCCCAAAGTCTAGAAATGTCATGTTTTGTTCGACCAAAAGCTGGAACCAGTTCATTTCAACTTTTTTAACTTTAAATGACTTAATCAATTTGATATAGTCAATTCTGTTACCCAAAAATGTCAAACAGTCTTTAAGCCTTCACCAAACAACATCAACTCTTATTTAAAAGAGGCATATTTGAGCTTGTCTGTTGGGGAAATGGTTAAAAAGAAATCATTCTGCTGAAGTTTGAGGAGCCAGTCTCTGCACCCGACCCTGGAGAGAAAACCGAGTAACTTTGATTCCTCTCTGTGCCACAGGAAGACAACTCTGCTTGCTCTCTGTCATGTTTGCAGCTTTGTGAAAACACCATAATCCCCATTAAATCCTCAACAATTACACACCATATCTTCTTTTATTGTAAAAATACAATTATGCAGCATCTGTGAAAACTGGATTAGGCTTGCCATATGAATATGTTTCCCTTAATTTGTGCATTGGAAAAAGCTCTTTGGGAGTGAGTATGATTTCCCTGTCTGATATTTGCACCTTTTTTTCCCACTGAGGTGAGGTATTCGAGCGCACACACACACAGCCATGCATCACTACACAGACCCGCTTTGGTGGGTCTGACTTATGAATGTTGCCCACTCGCTCCAGCACAGCTTAACGGATTTGTTCCCCTCAGCAGCGGCCTTCAAGGATGCCAGTCAGCATTACTTACTCAGGCAATAGACACGAGTCAAAGTATTCACTCTTTCATTGACTGAGCTTGTCAACGACAGAGATTCCATAAAGATGACCCAAACTTCTCCTCATGTGCCACTATACTGCTTTAAATTAATGCTTTATGCTGCATACACTAATACACATACAATAATGGCAGTGATCAGGTTCTTCCTTGCACATACTGTTTGGGCTCGGTAATGGCGATTATACCTGCTCCTTTAACCAGGAAATATGCTGGTTTTAATTCAAGATATCCTAAAGATTTGAAATGCAAGACCCATCAGCCCTGCAGTTCAGTAAGAATGGAAAATAATTGTTGTGCTAAGCTGTTTCTAAGTATTTTAGTCCCCTGCTGTGTGACCGGTATTACACAAAAGCAGACTGCATACCGGCTTGTTTGTCTAAACACACACACACAACACACACACACACACACACACACACTTCCTTCTCCCACCTTGTTGTTTTGGGTCTGTCTGCGCTGTTTGATGTCCTGGGTATGAACTGCAATGTCGTCCATACCGGGGCTACATTTGATGTTGTGGTTTGTTACAGCTCATGTTTTTTTCATCATAACACAATAGATTTGCTGTCTGTTCATATTATTGCAGAGCTTTGATAACACAAAGAAAGCAGTCAGCCTGCTTCAAAGTTCTGTTTTTTTCTGTCACACTTAAAATTCATTTAAAATTAGATCTGGGAGTATGAGTAAATGAGTTGTGATTAAAATTAATTTGTTCAGATTTTTCATACTGTACTGCCTGTTTCTCTGGTTTGGCTACCATCCAACTGTCTCTCAGCATGCTGAGCTGAACCTCACCTGGCTGTATGCTGCATATTTAATGCTGCTGTTGGATTGTGTGTGTGTGTGTGTGCACGCATCTGCCTTTTTTGGCTTTCAGGTATTGGTTTGCCTTGAGCACTGCTGCAGAAAACTTTTTTTTATTAAGTTTTATTAAGATTTCTTACCCTGGAAATACTATACACTCCTATAATTGTAAAATCAGCAAACACACATGCTTCTGTTGTTGAGTAAATGCTCAGCTTGTTTTCTGTTGATCTGCCTCTGAGGTTTAAATCCGACTTTAGCCTTGCATTCCTGACAGTTTTATCAATGAAAAACAAACAGTGATGGCAACAGGGACAGTGGAGCAAGGTCAGTTTTTTTCTGAACAAGACCACTGTGAATGTACTAAACCCCAAAAGACAAACATGTTCCTCTAGCTGCCAGTATAACAGCTCCACTGTTAACGTTGCATGGTATTTGCTGAATTCAGTGAAGTAATTATTTAACTAAGTTTTGCTCTTTTGAACATGTGTTGCTTGCAAAAGAGGGCAGTGCTGTAAGTATAATTTAGACAGCACAGGCGGAAATAAACAGAATTTATAGAAATCACTCAAGATCATTTATATTTATCTCAGTTAGTATTTTTGTTTGATGTGCTGATTAAGTATTTTGTCACTTGATGGTTGTCGGTCATGTTTATTTGTTGGCCATTGATCATTATTTGCTTTTAATTTCAAAGGGAAAGACCATAGAGTCAAGCCATGCTGAACCACCATGTTTCTACAGTAGCCCAGAAGGGACAAACAAAACACTGGCTGTAGACGGGGCCCTTCGTGTTTTGCAGCTCCATAGTTTCTCCTACACACTCCACAGCCTGTTATCATTACCAGGTTGTCAAATACAGACGCCAACGGTGTTTAGTTAGTTGCAATCTGAAAATTCACTGCTAGATGCCACTAAATCCTTCACACTCGTCCTTTTTTAGGACTTCTTGTCCATGTTGGCTTAAAAATTGCTTTACTTAAAAGTCACTTAAGGTACATAAAGCATGCGCCCCATGTTGGCTGACTACTGCAGCGGCTCGTGTTCAGTTCCAACATGCAGCTGCTTCCTGTTGATCCCTCTCTCTCCCCATTTCCTGTCAACCACTCAAATAAAGGCATAACAAATGTCAATTAAAATCAAGATGAACTGTTTAGGTAAAATTTGAAAATGGTGGGATAGGAAAAATAAACCCTTAAATTAATAAAATTGAAGCAGCAAACATTAATATAAGTCAAGTCAAAAAATATGAAGAGTTGGTACTTCAAACACTTAACAGCAGATGTTTTGAGTTTTCATGGCAGGAAAAACACAGGTGTTACTAACATTAATGATGGCTCCGTTCCATTCAAGTGTCCCAGTAAGCCATCACAGTGTGACAGTGAGCCAGCATGAACAAAGCCGAGATCCTGAAACTGAAGCAGCTAAATGGAATTCAGCCATTACTGATTATATAGGTTATGTTCTGTATTGTGATCAACTTTGGTTTAAAAAATAACACAAGGTTCAACCACTGATTTGTAACACCTGTTGAAAATTGAATTTCTGGTCAGTTTCACTCTGGTTCCTTGGCACAGGTCTTCTTTTGAGCTTCTGACTCACGGATGTGGACCGATACACGAAGCCCTGGGCAGTTTTGGTACTTGGACATTATCACTGTTTTGTTTTACTCACTCAGCTCTTCTCCCACTCACACAGCTGTGTTCTGTGATAAGAAGGGCTTGAGCCACTCAGGGCATTGTCTTATCAGTAGTTCAGGCTCCACAAGAAGGGGGGGGGTTATCCTCTTGTTCTGTCTGTACTGCAGAGCAGCACACTTTCTACTCTTGACAGGAGTGTGAGATTACTGGGCATCCTCATCATCCAGGGATTGTTAAGTGAAATTTTTAATTCCTCCTCCTGCACACTGCCTACTACCTCAACAAGCTAACGCCCAAACAGTTTTGCAACTTCCCTTCTGTTTAAACTGAACTAGCTTACTACTTCTCTTTTTTTGACTTGCTCATGTGGGATGTATTTAGTGCTATGTGTTGGTATCAGAGAACTATGGAGGTTGTCCAAAGGTTAGGGTTGTGATTATGCAGTATAATTCAGTATAGTATTATGCATTATACAACATACAGTGTTTATAGTATAGTATTGCATGCTATACTAAAGTATAGTGCAGTGTTAGTAGAGTTTAGTAAGCTATAGGCAGCTGTAGTACACTTAAAGTGTAAGATACTATAATGTTATTTATATGCTACGCTATACTGGATACTGTACCACAGTGTGCATACATTACTATACCATAATAACCCTAATACTATACCATACTATACTAACACTGTGTTCTACTATAGCTATGTAAAACATATGGCACATATCATACAGTATATTTTCTGCCTTTTGTTGGTTTTTAATTACAGATTTACCAGAATTATTGATATAAGAAATCACATTTGTGGAGCGATATAACCTAAAGTCCCAGTGTGTACGTTTTTTTGGGGATCGGTTGGCAGAAGTGGAATATATAATGCATAATGTTTGTTTTTTTAACCTTAGAATAATCGTTTTATATCTACAGACTTTCTACAGTAGCCCAGAATGGACAAACCAAACACTGGCTCTAGATGGGGTCTTTCGTGTTTCTCCCGCTCACTTGGACGTGGAGGGTGAAGCAAGGGAGAGGCAAAATATGAGTTTCACAATGTTAGGGGGTTTGCCCAGTTGTCATGGAATTATAGATGTTTAAACAGATTAAAAATGGATTAAGGTCTTTCTTGATTTGCCTGATAAATGAATGCATGATCTGTCTAGCAGTGTTTTGTTGAAGGACATTCATCAGGCAAATCATGAAGAAGTCTCACAGTGAAATATTTATAATGTCAAGGCCTGAAATGTGTAAATCACATCCCATTAGTCAACAGCAGTAGGAGGCAGGGGACCTGTAACAAGTCTCATCTATTTATCAAATTCCAGGAAAAGGTCTTTCCCTCCATAATTTGTTTGTGCCATCTGAAGCATTCCTGAGGGAGGAGGAGGAGGGTTAATCTCAACAACATATCTTATTCACTTGGGTCTATATCACATATCAGTGGCATCTCAGAGAGAGGCATTATTTAAAATGATGGGGGACTGAGTTTAATAGCACACAAACTCACAAACAGAATACATTATATATTTTAGTGTTGCGTAATGCTTTCCCATTTTTATGTTTATACAACCACAATTTTCAGCCAAATCTGTAAATCTTGCTTCACATTACAAGAGCAGTTTATGAAGCAGCCAACACACACACACACACACACACACAGAGAGAGACTCACTCGGCCCCTTCCTCATTTCCCCAGGAATCCAGATTTCAGTAGGAGTTGTTTGTTCAGTGGTGAGCTGACCTCAGATTTCTGCCTGATGGGCACTTTTTATGCTGACTGCTCCTTTTTTGTTATTTTGCCTTACTCTGAGACCCTTCTGTCAGTACTGAACTGTGACACAGGTGCAGAAGCAGTGCAAAGTTGACAAATCTTGTTCTCAATGGACCTCTTACTGAGTCTGTTTAGGCAGTTTTAAGATTTTATTACAAGGAATACATTTGAAGTTACTAGTTTTAGGTTGTAACCAGTGTTTATGTTGGAGTCCTAGACTGTCATCTGGATATTTAATTGTCAAACTATATCAAAATGTGGTAAAAACCAAGGACAAGGACGTGTGACCCTGTGAGGAAGTTTGTTAGGATTGTTTCTCTCTGGCATGTACCTACAGTATGTTTAAAGGTTAATAGCAGATTGGTTTGCTGTGAACCTCACCAGTTTGAGTTTAGTGAGGAGCAGAGACTAATCTTGTTAGATTTAGGAAAAACCCTCCTTCAGGGCACAGACTGTCTGCAGGGTTAGATGTTTGGGGACATGCAGGATATGCCCAAAGTGGAGTATGACGCTCTGTCTCCAAGGCAAAGTGGATCATGCGCTGTTAGAGAGCCTGCTATGTATAAATCTACGCTACAAGTCTGGTCCTGATGTAGAGCTTTTTTAGTAGGATTTGATCATGTGAGACTTTAGAGGAAAAAGGAACAACGTTCATAGGCTGTCAAATACTAATGAAAAAAATATACACAGTACAAGCATTCATACGTTCCCCACATTAGAGGCTGACACAGACAGGACAGTATTATTATTTTTTAAAACTTTCCTTCATGGTCAGTTTGCTGGTTGTTCTTAGAGCCTCACAGACTTTCCAAAAACATTCAAGTCACTGCTGAGTCACCCTGCATTTAGATGGATCATAGTTTCCACAAGGAACCTAACCAGGACTAAATGTCAATTTATTCTAAATGAATCTCAGTCTTGGTGTGTCTATGGTTCCTTTAAACCATTCAGTAGTAGTAGTGGATCGTTGCTCCATTGATATAACACTCTTCTGGTTCAAATCTTGTTATACTACAGACAGTGTGTGAAGCTCAAATCCTTAAAATTAAAGGACCAGTGTGGAGGATTTAGTGGCATCTAGTGGTGTAGTTGCAGATTGCAGACATTTGAATAACACTGATAATTATGACTACCATGTCATTTGCTCCTGACACAGGGCCCAAAAATATTGTAGGTCTAAGTTATACATCCAACACTGAAACAAGAAATTAATGAATAATATATCAAATGTGTTCTAAAATCTAAAACATGCCTTTGGAAAATGTTATTCTAATAAGATTCCTCTCTTTAACAGATGGTTTAAGTTGCTAGACAAGACTGGCAAGGCAGACAAAGACAGAGGAGAGGTGCTTGTCGATATCCAGTTCATGAGAAACAACATGACCGCCAGCATGTTTGACCTCTCTGGTGCCGGCAAATCCAGGTCTCGCCTGGGCAAGTTCAAGGACAAAGTTCGTGGCAAGAAAAAGGAATCCGATGCTGCATCCACTGTGGTGCCATCCTTCACTCAGGTCCTTACAGACAGCGAGGAGGACGGAAACGGGGAGGGTGAGGTAGCTACGGGCAAGGACGAGAAAAAGAAGAAACTCAAGATGAAGTCTTTGTTTTCTACCAAGTCTAACCTGCAGAGGAACATGTCTCAGTCTATGTCTGTTTTGCCTGCAAAGAACTCCCCGCTGAGCGGCAGCCAGTCCTCTGGTCTAAATGTGGATTCTTTCGAAGGTCGGGAGCAACAGTTTTTAATTCACTCTGTCCTATCACTGTTATTTAATTTATGCATTATTTCCTGCATGTTAATTTTCTCATTGTCCTTCCAGGTAAAAAGAAGTTCAAGTTCATGATACACAAACGTTCAGGCAGCTCAGACAGCAAAGATTCCTCCTCTGGTCACCAAAAACATGGCGCTGCAGAACAGAGTAACTTGTGCATCAATGGCAGTCATGTATACTGTGAAGAACCACCGCCACGGACCTCTCGCATCGGCTCCAACTTCAGTTTGGCCAGTTCAGGCCACGGATCCATGGAAGATGTCCCCGAAAGCTCTCCTCCATCTGTTGATTCGCTGAGGGCAGTGAGACAATATTCACCTTGGACAGAGGAGGAGGAGGAGGAGGAGAAGGAAGAAACGGCTGAAACGGCTGAAGTAGAAAATATAAAAGAGGACGTGGGTGAACGTAGAAGGGAGGAAGAGAAAAGGATTAGGATGGAGGAGGAGAGGAGGAGAAAAGAAGAGGAAGAGGAGAGGGTTAGGAGACAAGAAGTTGAGAGGTTGGCTGTAGAGAAGAGGCGACTAGAGGAAGAAGAAAGGAGAATTGAAGAAGAAGAAGAAAAAAGGCAAAGGGAAGAGGAAAGGGCTCAGGAAGAGGAAGAGCGTAAATTAGCAGCAGAAAAGAGGAGACTGGAAGAAGAAAGAAGGATGGAAGAAGAGAAAGTTAGACTGGAGGAAGAGGAGAGAAGGAGGGAGGAGGAAGAGAGGGCTCAAGAGAGGAGGAGACAGGAGGAAGAGGAGAGGAGGAGACAGGAGGAAGAGGAGAGGGTTAGGAAACAAGAAGAAGAGCTTGAAAGATTAGCAGAGGAAAAGAGGAGACTAGAGGAACAACAAAGAATGAGAATTGAGGAAGAAGAAAAAAGGCAAAGAGAGGAAGAGGAAAGGATTAGGATGGAGGAGGAGAAGGCTCAGGAAGAGAGGAAGAGACAAGAGGAAGAGGAGAGGATTAGGAGACAAGAAGAGCTTGAAAGATTAGCAGAGGAAAAGAGGAGACTAGAGGAACAACAAAGAATGAGAATTGAGGAAGAAGAAAAAAGGCAAAGAGAGGAAGAGGAAAGGATTAGGATGGAGGAGGAGAGGGCTCAGGAGGAGAGGAGGAGACAGGAGGAGGAGGAGAGGGCTAGGAGACAGGAAGAACGTAGAGTAGAAGAGGAAAAGATTAGACTGGAGGAAGAAGAAAGAAGGTTTGAAGAAGAGAAAGTTAGAAAGGAAGAAGAGAGGATTAGGAGGGAGGAGGAGAGGGCCCAGGAAGAGAGGAGACGAGAGGAAGAGGAGATGGAGCATGAGAAAAAGAGAAAGCTAGAGGAACAAGAAAGGAGGCAAGGGGAGGAGAAAGCTAGAAGGGAAAAGGAAGAATATGAGAGATTGGCAGAGGAAAAGCATAAACAAGAGGAGGAAGAAAGGAAAAGGGTTGAGGTAGAGGAGAAAATTAGACAGGAGGAAGAGGAAAGGGCAAGGGTGGAGAAGGAGAGGAGGAGGAAAGAAGAAGAAGAGGAGAAGGTTAGGAGACAAAAAGAACATGAGAAGTTAGCAGAGGAAAAGAGACTAGAAGAACTAGAAAGAAGGAGAATTGAGGAAGAAGAAAAAAGGCAAAGGGAGGAAGAGGAAATTATTAGGAAAGAGGAGAGGAAACAAAAGGAAGAAGAGAGGGCTAGGAAAGAAAAGGAAGAACATGAGAGGAGAAGAATCGAGGAGGAGGAAAGAATTAGAAAGGAAGAGCAGGAACAGATAAGAGTGGAGGAAGAGAGAAGGAGGAGACAAGAGGAAGAAGAAAAGAGGATTATTGAGGAAGAGGAGAAAATTAGGAGGGAAGATAAAGCTGAAAAGGAGAGGAAAGAAGAGGAGGCCAGGAAGCTGGAGAAGGAGAAGTTAACAAGAGATGCAGAAGAACAGAAGAGAAAGAATGAAACAAAACAGAAACCTGCAGGGATGAAGTCTAAAGTGGAGAGCCCTGCAGAAGTCACCTCTACCAATCCATTTGAAGACTTTTCAAATAATCCCTTTGAGGATGCTGCTGAAGTATCAACTGTCCAACAAAGGTTAGTTCAGATCGTCTTACACTACACAGATCCAAAACACTGTGATACATTGACACATTGGGGCGCCCTGGTAACTCACCTAGTAAAGCGGACGTCCCAACAACTTACAACTATATCTCCAACTATAAAATATTTTAACAAAATGTAATCTTAAATATAAAATGTTTGACCTAATGATAGTGCTAGATAAAAAGTCAGGGGATTAGCAAAGTTTATTTTGATAACATTTTGGTGGGTTTGTAGAAGAAGTCAGGGGATCACAGTCATTAAAATATATATATTTTAATGAAATGTGACTGTTTAGTAGCTGTTGAGATATATCACAGTAGGAGTCTATGATTCATCCTTTTGGTGCCGTGAATGTACACAATTCCAAACTGAACATTTGACACAGACCAACAACAAAAAAAAAAAAATATTTTAATTTTTTTTTGTAATATTTTTTTTTTTTCTAAAAACCCTAACTTGTATTAAATCCATTAAGTTCACACAGTTGAAGCCTGTTTAAAATACATCTGTGGGAAACGGTGAAGGTTGTGGGTGTTGCACAGTGTAACAAGGTTCAACTAGCTGGAGTAGGTAACCTGCCTTTGTTATCAGTAGCAGAACAGGAACAGAATAGGGCAACAGAGTTAGTGAACTAAATTTGACTGCCTGATGAAAAAGATATAAAGTCAGAGTCATTTTCATATACAGAAAGTGTTATCTGAATGTAGTTTATCTTCTGTTTTCCAGTCAGTCACAACAGCAACAGTTCATCCCAACGCTGCGGTTTTTAATGCAACCTAACGCTGATACTGTCATTAAAATTGCATAACTCTGTGCTTGTTTGTGTGCATTGGAGTCGATGAGTGTGCAGACACATGAATGTCTGTGAGCAAGGATACGTTTCTTTTGTTAACTGAGATTGGGGGCTCATTGCGGAGTCTTACATCATTATATCAGGCATCAAATAAACAGGGAGTGAAAATAACTTGGAACAATGGGTAATCAGGTGAAAGTGGATGGTAACTTCAGAGATCTCAGGATGAGATTGATTTGGTATATTCTCCTTTATTTCTCCTTTAATATTATTATATTATATCAGGACATTTACATTACTATACACTGCTTTTAAAAATGAAGAAAATTAATAAATATATTCTGTGTTCTCCTTTGTTTGCTCTCTAATTTTGCAACACAAGGTTTTACACAAGAGTTTGATATCTTTAATCTACTTGCAGACATCCTTGATGACTTGCTTTAGATTCAGTTGGTGTGGCACCATTAGACTATTTTGTCTTCCCTATGCAACTCCTTTTTAATTAACCGTTTCAGTCGGTTTTAAATGTCATACAGTCTGTGTTTAATTTCCAGGAATCAATCTGCTGCGTCATCAAAGGGAAGTAAGACTGCTTCCACTGAAGAAAAGGATCTTAGTAGTGCTCAACGAAAGAAGCTACCGGCTCCTAAGCCTCCAGGAAGAAATCCAGCTGAGAGACAGACTCAGAGGGAGCAGGACGGATCTACGCGACATCTGGCACAAATTAACAAGCAGAGCAAAGACAAAGACGTCAAAACCATCAGCGTTCCCCCTCGGCGCTCTGTGCAAATGATCGCTCCTCTGAGTAGGTCTCCCAAAGATGCAAAGAACACCCAGAGCTTGACTCAGAGTATTGCAACCAAAGAAACAACAAATGTTGCCAAACACAGTAAACGTCTTGCACCGACTAGACCTCGTTCTGTGGAAGAAGGGCCATCCTCTGAACCTAAAACGGCCTCTTCTTCAGGTGGCAAAGAACGTGTCTCGGAGGCAAAACAAGAGATTGTTTATGGCTTGAATCCATTTGAAGACGATGAAGATGAAAATGAAAATGAGCTCACAGCCCAAGATGATACAACAACTAATACTGGTCCGCTACAGTGGCCTCCAGCCGTGTCTCAGGGTGCTGATACAGATGCCTCCTCTCAGGCAAAAATCAAATCCTCAAAGATGGCCCATGCTCCCCCGCTTCCTGGAAAGAAAGCTGCCACGTCGGCCAGTTCAATGAACCAAAGCACTGAGGAAAGCCATGTTACAGATAACAGTGTAACGCACCCATGTGACCCGAACCATGTCCAAGAGAGTCCACCACAAGAGTCCCAGCCAGTGCAGAGTGCTGGGGAGGAGGCAGGTGGGAAGAAAGAGGGGCCTCCTACAACTTCACGCAGGTAAGACAGAATATTTATCACTCTGCTATCTCTTCATATATTTTAGATCAAACACTACTAGCTCCCTAAATAATGCTGCGTATAATATCAACTGTGTTTTATCGGATAAGGTTGGTGATTGCTAGGTTACGCTTTGATTTTATACAAAATTATAGCAGCTTGATAACTGAGCCATACGTACAAGCCAGTACTACCTTTCCTTTCACTCCCTGAATTCAATCCAGTGCCTAAATCTGTCTTTCTTCTTTTTTTGTCATCGCAGGCTTCAACCTGTAAAACCCCTTAATCCTCTGGGACAGCAGTCTCTCTCAGTTGTTCAAGGGGAAAGGGATAACAAATCCACAGAAATCCTTTGTGAACTTCAGGAGAAAACCAAGGTATTTCTCTCTTTTTTTTTTTTTTTTTTTTAATCAATACTTTTATGGTGGTTAAAGGATTGTAAATGAACAAAGGAAAGTTTTCTTATAAATGTTTGAATCTTTTTGTTTTAAGGGTTTTTGCATCACATTTGTGTTTTAATAAACACATTCTCCATGTTTTATGTATTCTCACAGGTTAATGACACTGAGCTGAAAGGGCCGTACTCCCAGCTGACTCGAGAGGAACTCATCTCTCTGGTGCTTAAACAGGAAAAGCAGCTGTCAGAGAAAGACAAAAAGATATCAGAGCTGGAGCAGTACATTGACAACTTGCTTGTGCGTGTCATAGAAGAGCAACCGAGTATTCTCATGTCCATGAACTCTCTGAAGAAACCTGTCTAGGTGGATGCACAGCTGACACTTTATTTCCAGTGTAAAAGCTTAGGTTGACAAGGTTTGAACAGTTTAGAGTTCAAATTTCAACAAATTGGCAAATGAATGATGAAGATTGAAATATATTTTGTAAAATAAATCTTGCAGTGGCTGTTGCAGCTTTCAGCTTTAAGTCAACCTAAGTAGAAATATATATATATATATATATATATATATATATATATATTTTAGCAATTTCTGACACTTTACTACAGTACGTAAATGTGTGACACTGAAACAACCTCTTTTTATGCATTTGTGGTGAATATTTTCACGTTGAGCATAAAATTCTGTCCAAAAATGACTGATAAATGTCAAATGTTGCCAACATGTCAAACTTAATCACTGTATATGGTAGAAAATAAATAAATAAAATGCAACTGTTAGCTTCCTATCCCCTGGAGATATCTCCAGCGTGAAGAAGAGCCTTATTTTACCGTCAAAAACTATGCACTAGTATTTAGATAGATGTTTCTTGCTCTCGTACTGAATGTCAAAGTTTACATGATTCTACTAACCCCCAAAGGCACTTTACTCAGCTTACACTATTAACATGATGTACACTGAATTACTGAACTGTACTGAGGTTACTGCATTATGGTCTTAAAATATGCATAATAAAATAAACTTTGTTCTGATAAAAGCACATGTCATTTCCTGGAAATATATTGTAAGTTTGTTCATGTCTTTGTGTTTATTTATTTAATTTAAAAACTATTTAAGACTATTTTGGATTTCTTAATGTATTTATAAGACTATTTTGTATATCTTAATTATTTGCACAATTAAGCATTCCCTATATTCTACACATAATTTTTCCTTTTCCTTATTTGGTCATTTTTCAAATTTACAAATTTCCTTCAGCATATTTCAAACAATAAATATCTAACATTCATTATCAATGGACAGTCTTCTAATTTTCAATAAGAAACGTAGGATTGTCAAGAAGATACGTGTTTAATTTCCAATAGCCATATTCCAATGTCTTAGCGAACTGTAGATAGTTAATGGGTAGACCACTATATATATATATATATATAATATATATATATATATATATCGAAAATAAATATAATATATATATATATATATATATATATATATAATTCTCTTTATATATATTATATTATATAGATAGATATAGTGCTCTACCCACTATATATAATATATATTATTTATATATAATTTATGACGTCAGTGGGGTAGACCTACAGTGAACGATAGGACGAAGCGGAACCTTCGACATTCAAACGTTGTTGCCCGGACACATTTACCTCGCCCCCCTCACACCGGCAACCGAACGTTCATTGGACGTTCAAACCGCAGGTGACCAACTGTCAGCGCGCGCACGGAGCCCACCGGCGTGTGTTCCATATCGTCGTTGTTGTTGTTGTCGCGCGCGGCGGCGGTTTGTGTGTGAGATGTCTCGTGCGGGATTGAGCTGCCCGGGCTGCGGATCCTCCGACGTTGTGAGCGATGATCTGTACTGTCAGGCCCAGATGGTGTGTGTGGACTGCGGCTCCGTGGTGTCCGAGGGAGCGCTGACCCACGAACCGTTCGGAGGTCCAGGTATGAACTGTGGTGATGCGGAGGCCTGCTAGCGGTCTGTCTGTCCGGTTCAAACTTATAAATAAAGTGTTATATTAAGTTATATGTGTGTGTATAATCACCACGGACCCGTTGTTAATTGTGTCAAACAGGGTTTTTGGGTTGTTTTTTGTTCGCTTTTTCACATATTTAATATCTGAGCTTTCATTTTGAATTTGGTTTGTGGCTCTCGCAGTGGAGAAAATCACACATAGAAAGTTAACAACACCCAAATATGTCATATAAGTCTAACCTGATGAATTAAATGTCTGTTTGAAGTAAATTAACCCCTAAAAGACTATATCAAACGTAAATAACACAGTAACCCTCCACTAATGCGACCAACTCTCCATTGTTCAGGTCAATACTGATACCAACAAGTCCAACTATAGGTCGCCCTTATAGCCTAATGTTTGACTGTGACTGTCAAATAAAATGATAATAATAAACAATGAAATATTATCTTTGAAAAGAAAGTATTTTTTAATAAACACATAATAATTAAACAAACTTGAGACATTTGTTTAATTGGGACCAAGATACATACATATATATACATATATATATATTGGCTGGTTTATTTCGCTCTACTATGGAGTGTTCAGTCCTATTTTAAAGTGTTAAATACAGTTAATGCAGAACTAGATTTGTTTTCTAAGGTTTTTTACCATTATTAGCAGCACTGGGATCCACCAGCCACCGTCAGCCCAGCATTGTCTTAATGAATTACTATGGACCTTCCCACTTTTGAAAGAATCAGGTTATCTCTGAAGGAAAGTCAATATCAGTTCTGAGGCCAACTCTTCATCAGACAGCTTTTAGCGTCTAGAGTGTCCTGAATTTATGTTGTTTTGATGTTGTACCTTTCACTTTATTTACTATATGTTCTTGTGGGTTCATCATGTTCTGTGTTCTGTTATACAGGCTGTATTTTCTGGGATACTGACGCATACAACTGCACAACTGTGCACAATAACAGAGCTTCAATGTAGCACGCACTGTTCCTGCAACAAGATTATGCTATTTATCTTTTATAAATGTCACTTTTGCTTGAGCACCATGAGTAAATTCCATTCACCTTCATTTTATTGAGGTGGAGGCATTTCAGAGACACATATTTCAAATAAATCTGAAACTATTTTCATGGCTAGACATCATTAGAGGTCGCTGTGGGCTCCCATTTACTTCCCTGTTGGTGGTAACACACATTTTATTTAGGAAAATGCAGCATGTAAATTTTAACAACGGGTGCTCTAGAAGACGGGTAATAATACAGAACCCGCCTTAAGGTCTTTTTCATTATTTGAGTTGCTATATTGTGGTTTAATGTTGCATATTGATCAAATTACCACATGACCCCGGTGGATTTGGGACCACAGAGGAACTTTACCCGATTGGTAATCCATTTCGGGGTCAAAAGGTTCAAAAAGAAACTTAGATCAAATTAGTGATGAAGATTTTTGTAGTGGAAATGAACAGTTTTACAGCAACTAAGTGGAGAGACACACGTGCAGTGCTGCCGTCCCTGTTAAGTGAATACAATCCCCAGCTGGCCAGGTCATCAGTGTCACAACCTTTCTCAGATATGGTGTACCCTTATCTCAAGTGCTGTAGAGTTTCCACATATCTAAAAACGACTAATTATATATCAGTTATGTATTTTGTTTAGTTGTGTACTTTCCAACAATGTTCAAACCCAGAGGAATCTATAATTTCCTTCAAGGTAAGGGAACGTTTGATTTGGTCGCCTTTCAGTCGTCTTATCCTCTTCTGGGGAAACAAGGGTTACGTCAGAGTGAGGAAGGAAGTCTGCGAACGTGACTAAACGTAACGTGAATAAATATATTACCTTGTCCGTGAACATGATTTCTGCCTGAGCCAGGTTAGATTTTGTGGTTGTTTAACAATGAAGACAACAACTCCCATGATTCCACTCTACTTCATGATGTCATCAAAATACGTCTGTTGTTTTGGTTTTGATGTGAGACCCTCTAGTGGCTGAAATTACATACTGTGCGTTTAAGGCAAAGTGTGAATAACCTAATGAACAGTGTGGAGGTAGGGCTAAACTCACCAAACTTAATGAATGCTTTTCATTGACTGTTTTTTTTTCTTTCTTAAAAACCAACTACAAAAGACATTTGGGAGGGGGTTGTGAAACGCAACCGCCTCTGTAATGTCTTTATAAGAAGAAGATATACTTTATTATTATTATTATATACTTTATTATCACTGGGGCTCTCTTCTCCCATGGGATATTTTAGGAAAACAATTTACACGATCTGTTTAGATGAGTGACTTTTGTTGACTGGAGCTAGTTTTCCTGAGTCCTGAGCACCTGTATGTATAATAAACTTTGTACTTTAAATCTCTATTTTATGATTCAGACGTTTTTTTACATTGTTTTAAAACTTAAAATGAATTGATTTTAATCAATTTATGGCCCAGCTCTATGTGGAGAAGTGTAATTTCCTTAATTTTATTTTTGAATTTGCACTGAGTGTTGGTGTCTCTGCTAATCACAGCCCTCCGACACCTCCATTACATTTTCCATTACCTTTTGGTCTTTGCCTTGACTCTGTGTGCTTTTTACAGAAATCAGCTACAGCCGAACCACAGCCGTGGCCAAAAGGCCGTGTCTAAACCTGATAAAAGGTGAGCTCTTCTCTTCAAGGTTCATTAAATATATTATAACATTGTCGCTCTTATATATTCTTCACCCTGCCGTCCTCACATGCTCATACAGTATATCTGTTATATTTCTACAGGTCTGCAGCGTGTGACTGCCATATGTCGGATTCTCAGGGTCAACAAAGAGATCGAGGATCTCTCACAGACTTATTTCAATCAGGCCTATCAGCACAGAAGTTTCATCAAAGTGACCTTCCAGAAGAAAGAAGTTCTCGCTGGGTGCTGTGTGCTCGTAAGCTGCAGACTGCTCAATTGGCCCCTCACCACGGGAACCATCAGCTGCCTGCTGGATGCCGACCCGATGGTGGTGGGAGCGGTTTATAAAGAAATGGTCAAGATTCTCAACATCACAGCTCCGATCGTCAACGTGGCGGATGTAGTGGAGGCCCACAGTCAGGAGTAAGTGAAGAATAGTGGTCTCCATTTTTCTGAGTCCCCTTATTAGCAATATGATAGTCATATGATGGTTAATTAGGCCAGTCAAAGAGTATTACATGGACATGTTTTATCATTTCCTGACAGTTCATAGGCTTTCTCTAAACTTTGTCTTATCCAGAAACCAGAGTCTCAGACAGGATAATGTCAGCTGGTCTGAATGTGATGCAATCACATCAGCAGAGCCCAGAGCTATAACATACTGCACAACAGACAATAGGACAGGTAGATTATGGCAGCATTTCACATCATGTACATAAAGCCCACTGAGCTTTAATTACTCTCTGATGCCATGACAGTTTTTTCCCCTTGAAATATTGTGACTTAAGTCTTTTATTTACAAAAAGTGGACAGGGATGATTCTCATTTGGTTAGCTTTGACTGGACTTTAGGGGAGCTGCTTTTGTCTGAGTTGTGCTTATCTGGAAAGCTACCAAGTAGAATAGAACACCATAAATACTCTTAATTATACATAAGTGCCCTAAATGACAAATTCCATTTTCTAAAACGATTTCAAAATTGGGCGGACGGTTACTGAGAATGTTTTTCTTCTTCAGGTACAAAATTAGCTCCCTTCATGTTCCTGAAGAATTGGCTGAGAACTCCAAGGACTTGACCAAACGGGCCTTGGCCCTGGTGGAGCTGGCAGCAGATACCTGGATTGTGACTGGTCGGAAGCACATCCCCATCATGATGGCGGCGATATATTTGGCTTGGCAGTCCTTGAAGCCCAACAAGCACCGCCTGAAATTCTCTCTGGAAAAATTCTGTCAGGTGGCCAAAGTACATAAGCACAAACCTGCTTTGAAGAGAATCGCTGAGATAAAGGAGGTACTGTGTAAGCTGGGTAAGGAGATTCCCTGGGTCACGGAAGCGGTGACACCAGATAATGTTGTTCAGCAGGTGGAGGATATTCTACAGCACAGGTACTCCCTGCTAAGGAGGGCTTTGAAAACCCACGAGGAGCATCAGGTCAGCTGTGAGGACTCTCTAACTGAGGAGACTGCTCCCTCCCAAACCTCAGAGCTGGCAGAGCAGACACCAAATGTATCCGCTGTGGAGCAATGTGAGCCGGACACTGAAAGGGCCCAGCTACCAGGGGATGGATGCGCAGTATCTGAGCTGCACAGTGACAGTCAGGAGAGCCAAGATCCAGCACCAGGCTGGGGGAAGAGAGTGCTGTTTGCTCCCCCGTGTGTGATCCATGCTAAGAAAAGGAGGGTGGAGCAGCCTGAGGTCAAGGATGTGACTGGTGATGAGGAAATCTCCGACAGTGAAATCGAGTCGTACATCCGCACTCCTCGGGAAGTTCGAGATTTTGCTCTGACACAAAAGATATTAGAGATAGAGAACTCCTAACCAGTTGTGTACACAGACCAATATTTACTTTGTTGTTTATATGAGCGTAACCAATTTTTTAAACTTTAGGCCTGTTATTTAGTTATTTAGTTATTTAGGCCTGTGCTTCTTATAATTGTTTTTCTTGTAATTAAAGTTATTGGACACATCATATTATGTGCAATCAGTCAAAAATGCAGTTAACAAACTGAAATAACTTTTTCATGGAGACATTTTGACATGTTTCATTATGGAAATCACAGGTACAAGTAATGAAATAAATGATGTCCAAGTTCCATTTAGCTGCTTTGCTTTCAGGGTTCTGGTATGCATGGAGGCTCACTTTCATGGCTCAGTGGGGCTATTGAACAGAACTGATCCATTTTTAATGTTCTCAGTAACACCGTTGCTTTTCCTACTGTGACAAATCCAAATGTCGGCTGAGAAAAGAGTCTTATTTTGTCAAGCCTCTGATGAAGCCTTCATTGTGTTAACTGAATATCTACTTCTACCCATAAGTAGTTTCATAACACTTAAAAAAGTTTAGAAGGTATTCCTTATCATTTATAAATTCACTATAAACGCCAATGTGACATGAATGAATATTGTTTGACTGATTACACTATTAAAGTCCAACCTTTCAGAGTAAAAGCCCGCCTTTCATTTCCCCGGTACATTATATAATTGTAAAATTATTCAAAGAAAAGAGCAAGTATGGAGTGCTTGATTCACGTCAGCCCTGGGATTTATGAAATTTAATATTTCATTTTCTTTCCGAGTGTGCAGAGCTGTTTTGGCATATGATCTGGAATAATACATAATGATTTAATGTTACCCACAGCGATGCACCAATTCTGTATGTGTAGATAACAGACAAGGATATATGCAGTGAATCCAAGACTCACCCATGGTTTTGCAGCACTGTACTCGCTTTTTGATCAGAAACTGTAGAATGGGCTTATTTCACAGGGTGAATAACTAAAATAACATAACTCAGCTGCAGGAAGTTTAAGTCATTGTTGCACCAAGCTGAACCAAGGAGAGCCATAAATTCTCACGTGTCAGTGTCCTAAACAGGTCTCGTTTATATGCAGAAAACACTTCTGTCCTCCCCTCTATTTAATTAGTAAATTCAGCGGCGCAATCACACTCTGACCAAGGTATAATTTCATTCCGTGTCCTGACAGTCATGCAGTTACATTGATCTGGAGCAGAGAGGTCATTCAATCTCTATTTTTATTCACATTTTTCCACAGTGTATTGTTAGTGCAGGCTACAGATTAAATTATACCTTTTTTCACCACAGATCATATACATAATTTACTAACAGTTTGGTGGTAATAATAGCACTGAATACAGCATGTAGCGTGCCCCCCTAAACCCTTCATACAAGCAAATGATGATAGGAACAGAACAAACAAGAAAAAAAGGGCACACATTTATTTCCAACCACTGTGGTGGAGGTGGAGGTGAGGTTTAATAATTTTAGTGACAGCACTTCAAACTTGTTGACTTTGTTGAGTCATCTCTGCCGCAAAGACAAGCCTGTCTCTGCAGGAAAGAGATAATATGCATATAGAGAATACAGAGCAGGTGACATGGCGCTATAAGTAAATAATGGAACTGAAATGATGACAACCAATCAGTCTGTTATCAGTTCTTGACAACGCAGTGGTACATGGGGATATTCTGATTACTTCAAGACTGCACCAAACCTGACACATTTATGCCATGTCAATCAGTCTTGTACATTTTGTACGAAATCTCAAGAAGCGGTAGAAACAAAAAGCAGGAGAACACAGAAAGCCCCACGGAACCAAGCACCACAGTACAATGCTTTCATTTTTTACAACCAATATACAATGCTATCTGAAATAATACAATGTATTATTTCTTGCAGTGCACATTCATTAACTACATGCTTTGAGAAAATTAAAGCCCAGGGGAGCAAGTTCATGAATTTAATCAAATCCCCAGGGCTCCAAGAAGGAGCGCCACACGAGGATTAGTTCTGACATCAGTGCCCTGGTGGAAACACAACCACATCTGCAGCGACCATTTTCCAAACACAATTTCAACTGACGGTCTCATTTTCTCTTCACATCCAATAAAGCTGCACTTTGTTCATCTTGCACTATTCGTATCTTGCTTTGTCCTGGCCATTTTCGGTTTTAATTCTCATTCTTATGTTAAAGGAAAGCTGACACCCTTAAGATCTCATCATTTATGTCACAGGGCCATTATCTTTTATTACAAAGATTATTAAACAAATCATTCCATATCACACAATTGCATACAGGGCAAGTGTGCAGCTTACGCACAGTATACTACATTTAATATTTAAGGTGCACAAGCATTCACATCTCTGCAGTCTTTTCTCACAGGTGTCTCAGTTTTTACTGCAAAGAGTGGAACTTGTAATAAACCTGTGTTTAGACTGGCTGGTAATCCTCGTTCCAGCAGCAGTGCTGGTCAGTGTGTCAGTCTGTCCATCCATTGCCTTAGAGTTTGGTATAAATAGTCATGGTTTTCAGAGGATGATTCCAAAGACATACTGTGACCCTTTGACCTTTAACTGTAATGTGAAAGGATCCAACACTAAGGTCCATATCAAAGCACCTGGAAAACTCATGGCCTGATTTTATCGAAATCTGCTGCTGATATTCATAGTCCCCAGAGGATACTGACCTGGCCTATCTGGGCACACTGATGTTTCCCAGCGGATGAACCCTCTCTGCTTTTGGACCTCTATGAGCTGTCCCCTACAGCGACAACCTTCGGTCAAATAATAAACTTTTCACACAAGATAACTAACAGCTAGGACACTCTTCACTTCATCAACCAACTGACCCTCCTTAGATTGCTATTATTTTTTTATTTCATATCTAAAACTCTGTAAGGGGGAGATTGCCATTAAAGTAACTGAACACAGAATGCTGCCCAAAAGACTGACCTCGCCTCAAGAGGCCAAGAGATCATCTTTGTACATGAACATGAACATTACTAATGGCTGGATTGCCATGAAAGTTTCTGTGGATTTTACTAGTGACCAGAGGATGAACTCCATTAGTTTGGTGACACAGCAAAGTAAACCACATACACTTAAGATGAATCGGCAACCTACACAGAAATAATGACAAAGGATTCTCTTCAGCAGGTAATTACAAGACCACACTGGCAGCACAGTGATTTGCAGGCACTCCAATGCGATGACGGCACTTGAACATCTTCCGTAACTCGGCACGGAAGCGGTCGTGCAGCCACGCATAGAGGAAGGGGTTACAACAAGATGAACTCATGGCGCACAGGTGGCAAAGCAGTTGGATGAGTAAAAAGTAGCGCTTGTTAATGAGGTGGATGTCTATGTCTCGCAGCACATTAAATACATGAATAGGAAGCCAACACACTGCAAAGGCAGACACCAACAGTGCAACAAGGCGAAAGATCTTCCTCTTACGGGCTTGTTGAGCGCATGCCTGGTTTTGTGACCTGTGGCCTGGTGCGACACAGTTCCTCAGTTTGACAGTGATACAGAGATAAGACACAAAGACAGCCGATAATGGCAGGACATAGGTGACCAACAGGGTGCTGTATGCATAAGCACGTCTCTCTTTCTCTTGCCCCAACCAGAACTCCTCACAGATGGTGAAGCCTTCATCTTTGAACTCCACGTGGTAGGTGTGGGTGACTGCTGGAGCCACCAGCCCACAGGACAGCAGCCAGATGCCGGTGAGGACGGAGGCACAGGTGGCCACAGTGGTGCGCTTCTTCAGGGGATGAACTGTTGCATAATATCTGCAGTAAAAACAGAGAAGAACTTTACATTAAAGCTACTCATGTTTAATTTATGCCTGACTGATCATGACCCAATGTGTTAATTAATGCATGATTTAGTCCTGCAGCAAAATTTTACTTCAAATCAATTTTAGCTTATTTGATTTGGTATAAATGTTAAATTAGTTCCTTACTCTGCAGAATCTCATTTAATTTTCAAACAAAACTGTATAATAATGATAATAATAAAATTTATAATAGGGACATTTATTTATAGCACCTTTTATTGAGGATATGCAGCAAAATGTGTTTTATATCAAGACAAAGGAAAGCAATTATAATGATGGAGCAGAACGTTTGAGCTGTACACGAAAAAGAGGAAATTTTGAAGTTTTAAGATTGCGCAGAGGTGTACCCTGTATAAAACAACAACAATGGAGCAAAGCAAGGCCATGGTGAGTTTACAACAGGTGCTTAAAAACCTCAATTGATTGTGTGGGACTCTTCTTCAAAATGTTGACGGATGTTTTGCTTTAGATTTTTACATTTTTGGTGCAGTGAGTGCATGGATCTACTGGGGGACATCTTGCAGCACAAACCTTACTGTTAATTCATAGTAGAAAGCGTAAAGCTGGCCAATGTGGTAGTCAGTCCCATCGCGTACAGTACATATCTATTGAGTCCAAATTATTTAGCATTTGGTCTTATTTTTGTTAATAAATTAACATATGGATTTACAAGCTTGCCAAATTGTGAAAATGAAATAAGAGCTTGCAGCTGTAAGTGTTTTTAATTAACTCATGACTTAAATGTTAATTAAAGTGTCTAACTGATTGATTCGTTACTTAAACTAATAAAACCCTCATCACTGATGAATATTTAGCCAGTGATGAGTCATATCTTAGTCATGAATTTATGAAGCATAAGTAGTGAGCCCTTATTGTTAAAATGTTGCTCTTAAAACTAAAGCTCTCATTAATCAATCTATCACATCTTCATCATTTCTAAATGAGTATAAATGAAACACGATGACAGATAATGATTGAATTTCCTAGTTGCCTAATTTCTGCTTTGTTATTATATGAAGTTTAAATTCACTTTATGTTATTTAGCCTTTATATAATCAGGATCTTGACCTTGATTGAGGTCCAAAATGAGTTTTTCAAGTGATTTCTTGCCAAAATGGCAGCGCAGTTACGTAGCAGGGACACTAAACTGAAGAGGATTTAAAAGAAGAAGGACAAAAAGTAGAAAAACTGAGATCTGAGTGGCATAATTCCTGCAGTGCAGAGAGATCCACCCACCTGTCCACAGCAATAGCAGTGAGTGTGAAGACTGAAACATAGACTGTGACTGGTTGGATGAGGAACACCAGATAGCACATTGAGCGGCCAAAAACCCAACCACGTGGGTTGAAGGCATAGGCGAGAGTGAAAGGGACGCAGGTCACACACATGAGCATGTCAGAGAAGGCCAGGTTTCCGATGAAGAAGTTGGTGACATTGTGCATCTTGCGGGTTCGGCAGATGACATAGAGCAGCAGATAATTCCCAAAGACGCCCACTGCCACAACAAGCACGTAACAGGGGATGATGAGGGGCTTGAACGTCTGCAGCAGAGCCACATCTGCAAACTGGGAGCTGTGGTTGGTGGAGTTGTTCTGTACCGCAACCTCATAAACGTGTCCGTCTGTCTGCTCTCCTGACACAAACGGCTGTGTGCTGCCGGTCAGGCCACTGTGATTACCCTCCATGGCAGCAGAGCTCAATCTGTCAGTACCCGCACTGTCCAAAATACAATAACACAAGTTTGCAGCTGTTATGACAGACCATTAACAACTTTTCTAAAGGTCAAATGTCTATCAAATTAGTGTATTCAATCCGAGGATGCATGCAAATTTAAATATTCTGATGAAAACAGGTCATGACATTTATAAAATGGAAGGCCATTACTGAAGGCTTTTACCAACGCCAACACATTCATTCTCTCTCTCTCTCTCTCTCTCTCTCTCTCTCTCTCTCTCTCTCTCTCTCTCGTATGAGGCAAAGTGCACATTATTAAAGGGTTTATAATCATGAAGGCATTTAAATATGAATAGCTTAAGATGAGCAGCACAACAGTGTGCATCCTCCAATTAGATGTACATACAGAAAATGTCAAATCACAGGGTTGAGTCTGCAGAGGACATACAGTACTGTGTTAGTGTGATTACAGACCAGCTGACTGTTTCTAGCACTTTTCAGCATCAGCAGAATATTTATTCAACATGACTGACTGAGGGGCTGGATTTTGAAGCATTTTATCAAACAATAAAAAGATTTGGTTACTTGCTGATTGTTATTGCCACAGTTACTTGGGTTAACCTAAAACTGTTACACAAAATTCACTTTGGCATGAGAGTTTCTAATCTCTCACTTCAAAGCATTATGTTGCACTTGAAGCCAGTTTGCTGATGCAACATGTGAAACTTTTGTAGTAAAGAATAAATCAAACCTTTTATCAAGTAAAGGTAATGTGAAAATTCTACTCTACTACTCTAATTAAACCAATGTACAGCAGTGCATATGTGTATTGATTGTGTGCAGGCTTCAGGGGTAACAGATTACATATAACTGAGTTATGTAATCAGGATACAAAAAAAGGTAAAGTTACAGGGAATTATTAGCAGGATTACAATTTTAGATTACAATTTTACAATACATGTTTTTCTTTAAAATGAGAACATGTTTTCGATACTAAACATCTTGGTTATATTGTTCTGTCTTATAGAATAAAATTATAGATTTAAATCAATACTTCTTACTGACATTTTCTGTCTTTATTTACATATTTGGTGTTGAGGTAATCCAAAAACAATAACGTAAAGTAATCAAGTTACGTTTAATATTGTGATACTTGGATTATGTTATTGATTACATGATTCATTACAACAGGAATTGTATCGGATAACATTTTTAAACCAACCCTCCCAACCCTGATTGAGGAATGAGTGAATGTAGAATAAGAGATACTTTTTAAGATGTATCCACATTTTTATGTTTATTAGCGACATACAAATACATTTTGTGTTAGAAGCACACTTATTACTGAATCAAAACTACACACTGTGGACAAAAAACTAAGAAAAAAACTAAAAAAAAACTGTTATGAAGCCCATCATTTTAAAATCTTTTTCTGATTTTTTTAGATGATTCATGTTCACTTTTACAGCCGTAGCTTGTGCTGGTGTTTAAATGTCCCACTGAGAGTTGTTCAGCCAGCGCCGGTGAGGGTCTATTGTGACCACTCTTCCTCTATGCTAATGGGGGTTGGTTTTCCTACATTTTGCACATAATTTCATCCAAGTTTTTTAGACCTTTTCATCTCGCCACATTGCATAATTTGAAACTGCAGCATGAACAGTGACTGTTTGGCCTTTCTATAGCTCTCATGTTGCTGTCAGTTTTCTGTTACAGCTGACAGTCTCTCAATTAGTGTGACTTAATGTGACTCACTTGTGCAGTGCAGAGGAACTTTTTTCACATGAAATTCATTTCCACTACAGTCGATACAAAGACTTATTACAGACAATCATAATATTCATGAACAATTAGGAAGAGATTTAATTGAAAAATAATCATAGATTTGGTCTTATGCTTGCTGAGTGTTAATGAAAATTGTAGGTATCACAGTTGGATGAAAGTCTCAATGTTTCAGACGAGTTCCCATGATCAACCGCTAATGTATGAACATACATACAAACACAAATACAGTTCAAACTGAATTCTTTTGTAAACTACAATGTATTCGCTTTTTATGACTATAGCCTAAAAAAGAAAATGAACTGTGTATTTCCACATATGCGTGGAAGGGCTTACACTTACATATACAGAATATTATCTTTTGATGAACTAACTACTGCTGTTTGTCAATGCAACAATTCTGTTTTAAATCTGGTTCAAAAGGTTATATCTGCAGAAATAAAATGCTCATGTATTCAACTTTAATAATTTTAAAAATAATAGAGTAATAAAAAAATAACATATTTGTGTTTTTTCTCTGTTATTTGTTCCTTTGGGATAGATTTGTTCATGTTTATAGATTTTGTACCATCCTCGATCATTTATATATCATATCTGATGGTTTCCCTCATATTCATCTCCTACACTATTATTATCATTGTCTGGCTTTATTATAGAAGTCTAGATATTGGCCTTTAGATTATAATGCCAAGAAGTCTTACATAACAGAGCTCGGGCACATAAGACAGTTAGCCCCTTTTAATATATCTCTCAATATGCATTCATATAAACTCAAAAAATAGGGCATTTTTGAAATATATATGCAAATCCCAGGATTGCAAATAAATCCTTCCATTACATTACAATATGAGCCCCAACCTTTTTATCTGCATTTTATGCAAATGGAAAATCAAAATGTATGTGATCTTTATGCCATGTGAATATTTCACACAATAATGAGTACATGAGGATAATGTGAAAAGTGTTATTACAAATATAAAGAATATATTTACTACTTTATTACTCTGACCGTAATTATATATCTGTTCTAATCAGTCTTGAAGAAAATATGCTACTATGACTTGAGATTTGCAACTAAATAAATGAATAAACAAAATAAAACAAAAAAATAAACAAAAGCAGATGAAATCCCCCAGAAACTTACCTGTGTTGGTGTTTCTCAGTGTGAAGATGAGTTGAGTCTTAAGAGCGGACGTTCCTTGTGCGCTTCTCCACTGTGAGTGAGCTGAAGCTACTGCTGCTTTAGAAAGAGAGAGAAAGAGAGGGAGGGAGAGAGACCCAGAGAGGAGACAGAGGGAGAGAGAGAGAGATGTCTGTAGAAATGACAGTAAGCCAATAAGATGACAGAGACCCCAAAAAGATTCATGTCTTTGTTGGACTTGACGATGACGTTTGATCTTGAACTGATTAATTAGGATTGATGGATCTGAGCATACTGACAGTAACGGTAATTATTGATCTGTTCACAGACATGTGCAGGACTACCTGAGAGTGGTTTGATTATTTACTTGCTTGTTTGTTGATGCATTGGCAGTCTCCCTCTGATTTAACACCATATTGAAGTGCTGTCAGTGCACTGTTGTTTCAGAAATTGTGCATTAATCGTTGATTATGGGTGGAGCTGATTAAAACAACAAACTCTGAGTGATTGTTTATTATATATGGAAATGTTCTTTCTTGACATAAATTGACCTGCAAACAATCTAATAAGAATTTCATAATTGTGAGCCGCCACCATTTGTCCATTAATGTTTCTACTTGTTATGCATAGATTTAAGTCTATTTTAAGCTCAATGAAAGACAGTAAGTTCAGAATATGCCACTTACAACATTATAATTTTGCACCCTTTATAACTACTTGATGACAGTCTCTATTTTAACACCTTGTTCCCAACTTAATAAAAATTGCAAGTGATTTGGAGTGTGTGGAGCCTCTCATTGAAAATGTCTCCATTTAGAGCATCAGGCCTTAAACTCCAACCTAGACAAGTGAGTGCCTACAGTAATTCCATTGTCTACAAGCTTTACCTGGATAAAAGGATTTAAAGTGTTATCTGGTTCCAAATGGCAGAGTAAGGCTGGGACATTTAATTTCTTTTGCTGAAAATACTAACAAAATGACCTTTTCATTACAGATGGCGAATGACTGACGTTAGGCAGCAGTTATGGCTCCGCCGTTAAACCTTCTACTTACTCTTAATTGGCATGGACTTTAAAGCCCCCCTACACTCAAATATATATGAATGATGTATGTGCAGAGTTTGACTCTAGAAGAATGTTTTTACATTCATCTGCTCAAAGTGGAAAGTTTCTCTATAGTAATTGAAAATCAGATTTTAAGGGGCGGGGCCTGACAGCATGATCTGTGACATCAGTATTTTTAAAAAATATTTTGGAAGTCCATCCTGGTCCAGTATGCAACTTATACAAGAGTGATGTAGAAACTTGAAGTCACCAGTGCTCAAACACTGAGAATAGACTTTTATAGACATATTTTGTCCAGCAAGAAAACCAGATTTGCATATTCCTAGATTTTGGAATTTTAATGAGGTAGAAGGAATAAAACCTATTAAGAATTTGAATGTGGAAATTACTGTGGAAAGACTATTTGTATATATGTCTTACAATATTGTAATGCATATCTGGAAGGGATCTTTAAGCAAACCCCGCAAAACACAAGTCAGTCATCTATGTTTCCAGCAGGATGAAAATGATCAACCTTCTTAGAGACATTGGCACCCATACTGGCTGCCTGTCAGAGGTAAAAGACATAGAAGCAGCAAATCTTGTCAACTGTGTAAAGGAAAAGATGACAGAAAACAAGCAAGACCATCATCTGCATCATATCTATTCTGCCTGCTCACATAACGAGCAAGACTGTAAAAACATCCACATTTCATAAACCTTACGTTACACACATAATGACAGCACCGCCATCTTTTGTATGTACCAGGCTTTTAAATCAGTGTTACACAGAAAAAGAGAATCAATTTATTTCTCAAGGGGCCAGGGGAAATGTATGCACACAAACACAACATTACCAAGGTTTAGAGGACAAGCATTGTAGGAAACAACATGTTTATCTGCCAGTGCAGTGTTCTCGTCCAGAAAAGCATGCCTGTGGCTGCAGAGATGATAACATACACAAACCAGATGGAATTAGTTGCCAAGAGGGTATTAAAAAAAAAAGAAGGTGTAAGTAATGTGGACTCAAGGAAATAGACCACCTGTTGTCAGGACCCCACTAGGCTCTATTATCAATATTCATGTATAATTAAAAAAACTTTTCACAAATGAAACACAAATTACATAAACGTCAATGTTCACATGTAATTGCCTTAGGTTTGAGTTTAAATGAGCATACTTCTAGGAGCTCTTCTCTGTTCAGCAGGCGGGTAGTTAGATGTCTTGGGATAACATACCAAAACATGAATATTGTTATAGTGTAACTCGAGTTTTATTGGTCTGCTGGCATGAGATGTTCCAACTATGTGAGCTGACGTTCATGTCATATATGGCTGATTTATATAAGGTAGTGTACTTTTTGTCACTAAATGGTTTATTGAATACAGACACTTCATATTCAGTAAGCCATTACAACTTTTGTGTTTCCACGTTCTCTTTGGCTCGTGTCTATCCTCCTCCAACATGACCTAGAAAACAGCAGAACATCTAGACCCAAATCCATTTTTCAAAGTGGCTATAATCAATATTTTTACATGAAGCTCATGACTACTTTTAAGTGAAAACAGTCGCTCTTAGTAGTGAACCCACACAGAATTACTTTTGACTTTGTGTACAAAAAAAAGAAAGACCATTTTCAGGACAAGGGGTTTTCATTATGAATTTGGCTATATTTTACTGAAGAAAGGATAATTAAAATGTTTATTTTTGTTGTGTTAACGGTGCAGTGTGTAACATTTAGGAGGATCTATTGGCAGAATATAATATTTATATGTTTTCATTACTGTACAATCGCCAGAAAATAAGAATCACTATGTTTTCATTACCTTAGAATGAGCTGCTTTTATCTACAGAGGAAGACATCTATGAATATAGAATATCAATTTGAATGCTAGATATATGTATGGTTGTGCCTTCCCCTCAGCTAAACCTTTAGATGAGTTGCTAAGCACAACTGGCTATAACAAATGAATGGCAGAGAAAAGACATAAAATTAGATATTTCTTTACTTTCAATAGTCCAAAACCAACTGAACTGACAATAGCTATGAGAAAAGCAACACAGCATCTTATTTGTACATCCCCTGTTGCATTTATGCAGGACTTACACTGGGTTTCATGCTGGCTGGTGGCTGTAGTAGAATCTCGAAAAATCCTGCTGTCCAAACAGAGCAGTGCTATCGGCTTGTGGAGGTATGGTGATGAAAATAAAATGTGTGTGCAGTTTTCTTTGTACAAAGAAAGTACTGACAGATGCTGATTCTGAGGACAGACGGACAACAGCAGGGGTTTCCAAAGTTATCCATACCAAGGCCCCCCAAATAGCATTAGCTTATGGCTGGGGCCCCCTTTTGCAAGATGTCTTTAAAAGCTCATTGATAATGTGTGTGTGTGTGTGTGTGTGTGTGTGTGTGTGTGTGTGTGTGTGTGTGTGTGTGTGTGTGTGTGTGAGTGTGTATTTCCCTGTACTTTGAGGCAATCACTGCCATTCTTCTACAGCCTGATAGCTCACTGTATACGGTGCTAATGAACACAAATTTGAGCACGGCAGGAGGCTGTTTGAACTTTACACCAAGGCTGCTTTTTTTAATAGTGCTCCACTAGGGAGGCTTTGATCCCTCAGGAACATCTCATCAAGGTGCAGTCTTGATGATCAGAGTGATGCTCTGTTCGAGCAAATCCCTTCCAGGAGAAAGAATTATTTTCGCCTCCTTATCCCGTGAGGTGTATGACTCACAGAACTCACAAACTTGCTACCTGTAGGTGAAACTCATTCTGTCCCCTAGAGTCTTTATGATGTCCAGTCTTTGGAGATACTAGTGTAAACAAGCACAGTGTGGCTGCTGACTTGTGGAAGAGCTGGACTGAAGAACACCGATGTAGGGAAGGCAGAAACCATCACAGGGGAGAGGATACATTCCTTTTTTAAAGGGTCTGCTTCACCAAATCTCAAAAGAAAAAAAACTGTTTTCTAATTTGACTAAACTATCTGCATGGCCAGACAGCAGTAAAGGTAAGAGAGGGAATGTGTTCTGCATTGACGCAACGTTGTCCACTGTGAGTCATGCCCCATTCTTTCACATGCATTTTGAATAAAGATAAAGACACGTACAGACTTCAGATCAGTATGTATGTAGGTGTGTGCACACCTTCACACTGATGGATTTCACATGTCTGTCAGGCTTTGTCTTTGAATATCATTGTGTCCCAGCTGCTGCCATGGGACTGTGATCATATCTTTCTCTACTCTTGCTGTCTGAAAATAGCAATACAATATTTGTATTCTAGTTCATTACACTGCAAATGCAGCAACAATAGTTGAGCTTTGGATTGTACTGTATTCAACTTAAGAGAAAAACAGCTTTGGCCTTTCCATGTGACTTTTTTTCCCTAAAGCCTATTCCATATTAATGGGTACGTTATCAGTAGTTCTGTGCCTGTCAGTCATTCAGTCAAGAACTGAACGACCCTCCGGGGGCTGACCTCTCCTCTAACCATGGAACAACTCTCACAATCTCTTTCTCTTCCTCTAAATGACCAGTTCATCCTTTCAACTTATTATTCGCCTGTGGAAGTGGGATTTTTCTTTTGTTATTTTCTACGTTGCCTGTTGGCTGTGCCCATAGCCTCCAATCTGGACGGGAAAATGATTGACAGCTTGAATGAATGATCAAAAGTGCACTAAATATTGAATACATTGCCACTCAAGTTATGAGAACTGAATATGAAAATATGAGAATATTGAAACAAAGTTTATAGATTGCAATCGGTATCTGTAGAAAAGCCGAAAAGATGATGGAAAATGATTATTATTCTACAAACAAGGACAGGATCTGAGTCACTGAGAGGAGCTCATTTACATAGAAAGCAACAATTTAAAAGAAAAGGCAGTTTCAACAGTAATGGCTGTCAAACGATTTTGTATCTCCAATCACCATGCCTTTTAAATCCCCATCTGTCATCTCAATTTTCTTTGCCCAGGGAACTCCCCTCCACCTGCCTGTGTCACTGATCCGTTACTGCATTATGCAAATGAATGTATAATCTC